AAAGTGGATCCAAGCTGTAAATGTTACGACAGAGATTCTTAATCCGCTGGAAGATAAAATAGGTAAAACTCTTGAAGATACTGGCATAGGTAGGACTTCATAAACAGAACCCCAATTGCATGAGAAATAATTCAGAGAATAAATAAATGGGATAACCTCAAATTAAAAAGTGTCTGCACAGCAAAGGAAACAACCAACAGAGTAAGAGACCACATACACAATGGGGAAAAATTTGCCAGCTATTCTTTGGACAGAGGACTAACATCTAGAATATACAAACAAGTCAAAAAATTAGACCCTCCCCCAAAAGATAAAAGACCCAAGCAAAAAACAGGCACTTCTCAGAAGAAGCATGAATGACCAATAAATACATGTAAAACTGTTCAACATCACTGCCCATTAGACAAATGCAAATTGAAACTACATTGAGATACCATCTTACTCCAGAAAGAATGGCCATCAAATAAAACAATAACAAATGCTGGCAAGGATGTCAGGAAGAAGAAACTCTTATACCCTGCTGGTGGGAATGTAAATACTATAATCACTATGAAAATCAGTGTGGTTTTTCCTCAAAAAACTAAAAATAGAAACCCCATTTATCCAGTTTTCACCCTCCTATGTATTTTCCCGAAAGAGTTAAAGTCACCATATTACAGAGTTACATGACAATGCATTTTTATAACAGCAAAATCGACAATGGATAGATCTGGGGAAAAGCATACATGTCCATCAACAGATGAGTGCAGAAAGAAAATGTGGTATTTATACATAATGGAGTACTATTCTGCCATAAAAAAGGATAAATTTGAGGCATCCATAGGCAAATGGATTCAACTTGAGAATGTAATGTTTAGTGAAATAAGTCAGATGAACACACTTAAATATCACAGTTTCTCTTACACAGAAACTAAAGCAATACAATGCATATCTATCTATATGTATATATAGAGGGGGAGGGAGAAAAGAGAAGACAGATAAATAGGAAGTAGAGAGAAGTTCAAGTAATTCCCCAAATTATATTATGTTGTTTCAAAAGTATTTTAAAATATATGCTAATTTGTTTCATTTATAATACTGATTTGTTCATGGAAAAGAAAGTTTTGTCCTTTCATTTGTTTGTTTCTTTTTTGTAAGAGTCTTTTTTGTGTATGATTTGTATTTTGAGTAGCATTTGGCCATTCTTTTAAGATCGTGATGCACGGTGTACTAACTATTGCTATTCTCTAATTATCTTGTTATTAAATTGTTTTATTTTCCATAGAAGAGTCCTTTTTGTATTTTCTTTATTAATATCTATTTGTGTTACATTAAAACAAAAATTAAAATGATTATAGGTTCTATAATCAGAAATTTGAGTTCAGGACCTAAATTTCCCATTTACTAACTATATGTGTTAGAGAAGTTACTTTACCTCAGTGTCTCACTTTCATCTTTAAAATGGGAATTACAAGCTGGTGTGATTGTGCACACCTGTAATCCCAGCGTGTTGGAGGATGAAGCAGGAGGATTTCCATGCTTCAAGGCCAGCCTGAACTACAGTGAGCTCCTGTCTTGAAAAACCTCAATAAAAAAACAAATGAATAAATAAAATAGGGAATAACAGTAACCCCCTCTATTCTCTAGCCATGTTAGATTACATGCTATATAATTTTGTATCTCTATTCTTTTGTTTCTGCCACCTCTGCCTGCCTGTATGTGGTGGTTTTAAAGTGTGTGAGTGTGTGTGTTTGCACATGCATTTTTTGATATCCCTCCCTTTGAGTTCATTTCTCTTCCTTTCAATACAGGTTTCATTTAATGAGTTGCTTTAAAAGAAAGGAACATGGCAGTGATGGTACATAACTTCCCAGTTTAGGTCATAAAATGACTGTGGCTCTCCTGTCAGTCAGTCTTTCTCTCCCGGCCCCTCACCTGTTCTATCACTTGCTACTGGGATGCCTGCTGCCTGATCTTAGGCAGCCCCATACAGAGGTGTGGACTGAGCCTCCTACCTTTGGCCAGTGAATGTGGAAACAAATTCTTCTTCCTGCCTGGCGGCTTCAGCCCGAGCTAACAACTCCATAGAAACTTCATGAGATGCTGAACCCAAACAACTCCACTGAAGTGTTCCCTAGTTCCTGAGCCTCAAAACTGTGAAAAATAAGTATGTGTTGTATTATGCAGCTAAGTTTTGAGCAGTTTGTTACACAGTAAATAACTAATGCCAGTGAGCTCAAATTTACAAAAATGTCACTAACACACAGAATTTCTCCCACTTTGCCATAGTATTTTGCACAATGATACAACACGGAAGCCATATTAACAATGCTTCGGTTTCTCTCCCTCCCAAGGCTGTGAGCTACATGAAACCAGGCCACTATTAACTGTACTACATTAAAAAAACAACAGCTGGGGGCTGGCGATATAGCTCAGTGGCATAAGTGCCTGCCTGGCAAGCACAAGGTTGTGAGTTCGGTCCCCGGTACCACAAAAATAAATAAATAAAAAATAAAAGAACAACAATTCAAGCTTGATATATAAAGGTCTCTTACAGTAGCTAAGCAAAGAATTACTGTTTGCTTTGTCATGCGGCCTTTTGAGCCTTTTGCAAATATTATCCCATTTAATCCTCAAAAAACTTTAGCCAACATATTATTATTACTATCCTCATTTTACAGGTGAGGAAAATAAGGTCAAATTATAGAAAAGATGAGTAGTTTACCCACAGCCAGACAGCTAGTAAATGTGGAACTGGCATAGATTACGCGGCCAGAGGAGAGAGCCAGCCGGCAAACGACTCTCTCTGCGACAACTTGCTGTTTGAAGAACTAATCCACTCCCGGGAGAACTAAAGCAGTCTCTCCAGAAAGCCATCAGTCCCGCACATACCGGTACGGCTCAATGCTGTCACCTCCGGAACTGGTCGCAGTACCGGCTTTGTTAGGGACAAACCATATTCAAAGCACAGGAATGAGTATTCGGATTGTTTCACATTTGGTGAGTATTCATAATGCTACTGCATATAAATTTTGCACGGACACATATTTTCATTTAAGTACAGACCTAGGAGTAGCACTGTATTGTGTGTTTCCGTGGCACATGCGCGCTGGAGGATCAAACACACGCTCTTGTGCATTCCATGAGAGCGCATTACTGGGCCACACCGCCAGCCCTATTTCATGCTCCAACAACGAAATTATACCGCATCCTCTGTACCATAACGCTGCCCTCTTGAGAGTATTACCAAAGAACGTCGACTTATGTGAGCGAAGACCACGAGTACAGAAAAAAGGCTGCAGGAAGTCAAGACAGCAGGATACAAATGTAACCGACTTGAAATCCTTCCAGGGTCTTTCAAGGCGCTTTCCATTCCCTACTCTGTCCCACACCATCTACCCCTTGCTTTCCTTTCTGGCCTCGGCTTTGCCTCTCAATTCTCGAAGCACCAGGCACCCCGGCTTCTGGTGGTTTGTAGAATGTCTGGTTCAGCGCTCCGGCACACGCTGCGTCCTCTGCCAGTACTGTTTTATTCTCTGCCCACTTCTCTGCTCAGTGGTTTCAAGTCTCATCTTAAATGTCACGTCTTCAGAGAAGCCTTCTCTGATAAACCAAACTAGGCTAGAGGTGTTTCCATAGAGCCTGCACTTTTCCGTCCCAATACTTCCGATACTGGTCATTGGAGCCTCTCAGGCGCAGAGTAGAGAGCCGGCCGCCGCGAGCCGGGACCCCAGAGCCGGCGCACACCGCGACAAACACACTGAGGCGCGGTGCCTGGGACAGAGGCAGGAGCTATTTTGGTCTCGGTTATTTCGAGTCTGCCAGTCTGGCCGCCGAAGAAGCGCAACACCGTACTTTTCAGGGACTATTAAAATAGGCACGTAAAGACAGAAGTGGAAAGCACAAAGGAGGCAACGTCTACGAGTGTTTCAGGTTTTCCCTTTCCCAAGGCTTTTTGTAAGACTACAAACTCTTTTTCTGTCTCAATAGCAATTAGAAAGACAAGCAAAATTTCCGTTTGTAGTGAAAGAACTCCAGATAAAACACGTTTCCGTCGCCACACACGCGTTACCGCCCTGTGACAAACCCCGGCCGGCCGAGCCGCACGGTGGCGGCGGGGACCCCAAACCGGGACGCGACCGCAGCTTTCCGGGCCCGCCCCCCGCACGCCGAGCCGGGGAGCCCACCAATCCAGCCGCGTGTCTACGGTAAGCGAACAGTTATTTGCAAAGTCAGCAAAGGAGGCAAGATCTTCATACACAGCCCGCCCGCTCTTCCCCAGTAAGTCCTGAGAGCTCCTGAGCCACCTGGAGGGGACGAGAACCCGACCCCAAGGTCCGCCCCTCCCCCAAAGCGGCCCGCTCCGCGCCTTTCTTCCTTCGGCGCATGCGCAGCGCACTCTCCTGCCGCCGCACGCCTCTTCAGCCGACCGCGAAGGTGACGTCATCGCGCGGCGAAGTTGATTCCTCCGCTCCTCCGAGAAACGAGTCCGCGCCTTTCCTCCAAGGGCCGTGTCCTCCCTCTTTGTTCCCCAGTGCTCGCGACTCCCCGGCTCTTCCCGGTCAGCCCTCCGACCCCTCCCTGCGTTCGCAGGCCGGGAGGGCGGCGGGGAGGCAGGGGCGGGCCGAGGCGGCGGGGCCGGG